CACAGCCACAAGATGGCGGTGCCCACTCCCCTCAGCCCTGCTGGGGAAGCAGGTGCGCGGCAAGGCCGGGCAGCTCCTCGCGCCTGCCTCTGGAGTTCCCCAGTGCCCTCAGCCCCCCAGCTGTCCAGGGCCAGCCCAAGGCGCAGGCAAGCCTCAGATGTTGGCTGCCCAGCTGCCGAGGGCCGCCTGAGGCTCAGGTAACCAGGGCCGGCCGAGGCTTGCGCTGCCGGCAGTGGCAGCAGCAGAGGTGTGATTGGGCGTCGCCTTCCCCTGATCGCCGGGTCACCTCCTGCCCTTGAGGGCTCCTGGATTGTGAGAGGGGGCCAGGCCTGGGGTGAGGGACCCCCCCCCCCCCCAGTGCATGAATTTTCATGCGCTGGGCCTCTAGTATTATGTATAAAATCCCCCACGAAATAAATTTTTTTGTTAATCATCACTCAAGAATATTTTTCCATTGATTTTCCAGAGAGTTAAAGTGAAGGAGAGAGAGAGAGAGAGAGAGAGAGAGAGAGAGAGAGAGAGAGAGAGAGAGAGAGACTGATGTGAAAGAGACACATGGATTGGATGCCTCCTGTACACATTCCCACCAGGGCTGGGGATCAAACCTACAACCAGGTATGTGCCCTTGACCAAAAATTAAACCTTCTACCCTTCAGTGTGTGGGCTCAGTGTCTAACCACTGAGCACACCAGCCAGGGCCTACACAAAAGAAATTTTTTATTTTTAAAATTATTTTTTTAAATCTTTATTATTGAGAGTATTACATATGTCACCCCTTTTGACCCCATTGCCCCCTCCACCTCGTTCCCCCTCTGCCCCAGGTTTTCACCACCCTATTGCTTGTGTCCATAGGTAATGCATATATGCATTGAAATTCTTTGGTTAATTTCTTCCCATCCCCTTCCCCCCCCCCCCCCCCGCTCCCTTCCCTCTGAGATTCATCAGTCTGTTCCATGTTTCCATGCCTTTGGTTCTATTTTATTCATTAGTTTATTTTTTATTTAGAGAAAGAGAGAGAGAGAGAGAGAGCATTGATATGAGAGAGAGAGAAGCATTGATATGAGAGAGACACATCAATTGGTTGCCTTCCACATGTGCCCCAACTGGGGCTGGGGATCAAACTACAACCCTTTGGTGTGCTGGCTGATGCTCTGACCACTGAGCAACACCAGCCAGGGCTCATCAGTTTATTTTGTTCATTAGATATCTTGTTTGTCTATTTTGATTTTTAAGTTCAATTGTCAATAGATATGTATTCATTGCCATCTTGGTTTGGTGGTGATGAACTCCTTTAGTTTTTTCTTGTCTGTGAAGCTCTTTATCTGACCTTCAATTCTAAATGATAGCTTTGAGTAATCTTGGTTGTAGGTCCTTGCTATTTCTTTTGTTGCTTTTAAGATTCTTTCTTTGTCATTAATGCTTGGCATTTCAATTATGATGTGTCTTGGTGTGGTCCTCTTTGGGTTCCTCTTGCTTGGGACTCCCGGTGCTTCCTTAATAAACTCATTTTCACTTTAAACTCGATGCTGGCTCGTCTTTGAATTCTTTTCTGCACGAAGCCAAGAACCGACACTGGGTCACAGACTCTCGGGTCCCAGACCCCCAGAATGTCTGTGTCATTAGAAAACTACCAAACACCCTGAGAAATTGTATAAAACGAACATTAGAACAGGTACTCTCCAGTATTTGATATTGTTGAGTGCTCACTATTTCTCCATATTTTCCTTCCTTGGCTCCCACTTTTGCTGGTTCTTTTTCTTCCACTGAAGATTATCTCACCCATAATCACGGGGTCACCAGCCATTTGTGTGTTGACAACCACCAAGTCACAAAGCCCTGAGGCCGATGACACCATCGAGTGACTAGGCACATCTCTTCTTGCTGTCTCCTTAGCCCTTCATTCTGTGTCCAACGCCCCCAAGCCAACCCCTCTTCCATTACTGTATTGTGTATTTTAGTTAATGGTATTACCAAGCATCTAAGCCCAAAACCAAGAGATCTTAGCCTTGATTGCTATCATTATCTTACCACTCTGAATTAAATTGACCATTTCAGAAATATTATTTACAACTTAGCTCTTTTGTCTATACCCACTGCCACTTTCTTGATGTACACATTTTTGAAATCTATTCCCTGCATTATTGCAATGGCCCTCAGAATGTTCTTCGTATACCAGTCTTCTCCCCATCCAATATATCCTTCATACTGCTATTAGGACTGGCTTCTTAAAACAAATTTTTTGCCCTAGCAGGTTTGGCTCAGTGGATAGAGAATCGGCCTGTGGACCAAAGGGTCCCGGGTTTTATTTCGGTCAAGGGCACGTACCTTGGTTTCAGGAGCCTCCCTTGCCTGGGCCCTAGTTGGGGCATGTGCAGGTAGCAACCAATCCATGTGTTTCTCTCACATCAATATTTCTCTCTGTATTTTCTTCTCTCTTCCACTCTCTCTAAAAATCAGTGGGAAAATATCCTCAGGTGAGGATTAACAAAAAATTGTTCATATCACTCACTCCCCAGTTTGAAGATCCTGCTGCTTCCTGTTTTCTTAGGATAAAATTCAAGCTCCATAGATCGGTATACAAGGTGCTTTCCCGCAACCTCTCCATCCTGAGCTCCTGCCTCCCCTCGCTCTTAATATCCATTCTCTCTCTCCCTCCTTCATGCCTCCCCTGTACAGAATGTTAGTCCAGTGTAATCAACATTAACTGGGTACCAAACTCAGAGAAGAAGAGATGAGATTTGTGGTTACCAGAGACGGGGTTGGGGACATGCCTCCTGGGCATTGTTTTTATCAGCTCAGGCTGCTGTAATAAAATACCAGAGACAGGGGCTCATCAACAGAAATCTAGTTCTCATGTTTATGGCAACTAGAAGTCTGAGATCAGGTGCCAGCATGGCCAGGTTCTGGGGGCCTTTTTGTGTTGCAGACGATTGACTTCTCATTGTTTCCTCACACGGCAGAAAAGAAAGCTATCTAGCTCCCTCGGATCTTCTTATAGGAACATTAATCCCACCAGGCTGGCTGGCTCTGTGGTTGAGCATTGACCTATGAACCAGAAGGCCACAGGTTCAAGTCCCGGTCAGGGCACATGCCCAGTTTGCAGTGTGGGATGTGCAGGGGGTAGCCGATCAGTGATTCTCTCTCATCATTGATGTTTCTATTTCTCTCTCTTTCCCTTCCTCTCTGAAACCAATAAAAACATATTTAAACAAACAAACAAAAAGAACATTAATCCCATTCATAAGGGATTCTGATCTAATTACCTTCCCAAAGCCTCCAAATGCCATCACGTTGGGAGTAAAGTTTCAACATGTGATTTCAGTGGAACCACAAAGGTTCAGTCTATTGTAAGCACCCATCTGGAGGTGCGGGACTGGCGTTAGGGGTGTGGTCAGAAATGAAGGTAGAAAAGGTGTCTTCTTCGTAGAGATGACAGTTGCAGTGACGGGGGTAGACATGCTCTCCCAGGAAGGTAGGTGTAGCTGAGGCAGGCGGAGCAAGGATGAACAATGAACTCAAGGAAGAGCACGTGCAGGAGGCAGGTAGAGGAAGAAGATATGGCAAAGGATGCCAAGAGCAAGAGACAGGCCGAGGATAACAGGGAGAAAGTGGGGTCCAGCACCAAAGGGAGGGGACTACAAGGAAAAGGTATGTCAAGTGTCACAGCAGCCCAAGAAGATGAGACTGAAAACTGATCTTGGATGTTTTCAGGCAACTACACGGCCACCGATAACTTGGCCAGGCAGTCTCAGTAGAGTGTAGGCAGACGATAGTTTTTAGTGGGTTAGTTAGTACTCATGTTTATCGAATGCTTATTATGTGCCAGGCATGTGCTCAGTGTTTTATGTGAATTATGTCATGTAATCCTCTCAGCAACCCTCTAAAGGGAGGCAGACACAATTATCTTTTAAATATATATATATTTTTATTGATGTCAGAGAGGGAGAGAGAGATAGAAACCTCACTGATGAGAGAGAATCAGTGATTGGCTACCTCCTGCACGCCCTCTCACTGGGGATCAAACCCAAAACCTGGGCAGGCATGTTCCTTGTCTGGGAATCCAGCCTTGACCTCCTGGTTCACAGGTGAACACTCAACCACTGAGCCACACCAGCCAGGCTATCTCCTTCTCCTTCTCCTCTTCTTCCTCTTCTTCATCAAATCATCACTGGAGGATATTTGCACTGATTTTTTAGAGAGAGAGAAACGGAGAAAGAGAGGAAGAAAGAGAGAGAGAGAGAGAGAGAGAGAGAGAGACATTGATGTGAGAGAGAAACATGGATCAGCTGCCTCCCGTTCGTGCCCCATCCAGGGATCAAACCCACAACCTGGTGTAGTGAACGAAACTCAAACAACTGGGCCACCTGGCCAGGCCCAACTTGTACTTCTTTTTAACAATTTCCCCAGTTTATTTTGAAATCTTCTCTGACATGTAGCCATGTGAATTTTAGGTTAGTTATCTGAAAGAACACAGAAATTACCTATAAGTTAAGCACTGAAGAATACGTATTACCACATCAATGTTTAAGCATTCCAACTTAAAATTTTCCAACTCTTACCAACCACAGATAAAGCAGCTAACGAGTCCTTCTTTCTGGATATAATTGTGGCTCAAATGGAACATATAAGCTGACTCCCTTATGCTACAAGCTAGACACAAACTAGGAAGGATTGTTACTCCATCAGCCTTTCTCTTTCCTACAAAAACACGGTGTGAATGAACACACTCCTGGGCTGCGAGCCCCGCGGGAGGGCCCCTGTCACCTGGGGCAGGGAGGCCAGGGCAGGGAGCTCGTCCTCACTCGCCCAGACTCGGGGGAGCGGGAGGGCAGGTGATTTAAGAGGCTCCCCTGCTGACAGAGGGATTAGGTTCTCCATGGTTGTTCTACGATTTCGTCTGGAACTGCAGCGAAGCAGGAGGCCCCACTGGCGTAAGAACACTCCCTGTGCCCATAAACTGTCGAGTCAGATATTTATTTATTTTTTTGCCAAACACAACCACAGATTTCCATCCACAATTATTTCTAAGGTAAGAAACAGCAGGTGGACGCAAGTACCAGCACTGGCCTTGAGCGACGGAGGTGACCCTGGGCTGGGGCGGCCGGCGGGCGGGCCTTCTCCCTGCAGCCCCTCAGACACTGCCGGGCACGGCCTCAGCGTCACACTCATCCCCGCCCTCATCCCCATAGCGGGTCTTCAATAATGAGCTGCTTCTGGGGTCGTAGCTCCCAAGAAGTTCAAGTGTAGCTTTGCTGTTATTGACTTGATGACTTTTTCTAGTCCAGCCTCTCAGGTTGCTCTCATCCATACACAGCATATCATCGATGTGACAGGCCTCCTTAGGAACCTGCCGGGCAACGTGACTCATGGGAACACCATGCTTCTCCATGCAGTTCTGCCCTCGATAAGCAGGAGGGCTTCCTACTCCGGACGTGTGGGTCGCTGCACTGTCTATCCCCACTTACCTGAGACGTTTGATCAGTTACAAGCTTTCTGAAAACTGCCTCAGCAATGGGTGGTCAATGTCACCCAGACACACGAACAGCACCGACTTCCATGCCGGCTCAGCCATCTTTGCGCACAAACACCAAAACATATATTTTTTTATTGATTTCAGAGAGGAAGGGAGAGGGAGAGAGATAGAAACATCAATGATGAGAGATAATCATTGTTCGGCTGCCTCCTGCACACCCCCCACGGGGGATTGAGACTGCAACCCATGAATGGGTCCTGACCAGGAATCAAACCATGACCTCCTGGTTCATAGGTCAATGCTCAACCCCTGAGCCTAGGCCGGTGTTCAACCACTGAGCTACACCGGCTGGGCCTACTAAATCAAAACTTTATAGGATAAAGAACACTCTCTAGCCCTGACTGGTTTGGCTCAGTGGATAGAGCATCGGCCTGCAGACTGAAGGGTCCCAGGTTGGATTCCGGTCAAGGGCATGTACCTTGGTTGCGGGTGCGTCCCCAGTAGGGGGTGTGCAGGAGGCAGCTGGTCGATGTTTCTCTCTCATTGATGTTTCTAACTCTCTATACCTCTCCCTGCCTCTCTGTAAAAAAAAAAAATCAAAAAAAATCAATAAAAATATATTTTTAAAATGCATTTAAAAAAAAAAAGAACACTCTCTAGAACACATGACCCGATAGACTAGGCCTACGTTACATGCAATGAAGTTGAACGTGGCAGTAGTTTAACATGGAATGTAAACAAATTAGTATTTCTCATTGTCCAAAGCTGTTTATGTAGATGGCATGCAAGAAGAAAGGCATGATACTCGCATTTTCACTAATCATCTGTGGTGAGTTTTAAAAAGGCATCTGAGGAAACTGGAAGATTTCTTTAACTATATTTCAAATAAATTAGTTATAGATGTACTACTGAACTGCTTTCGATACCAAATAAAATCTTAGTGCAAACATCAAGGTTGCTGGTCACTCCAACAGACTGTCACACTCATTAACAGAATACAAGTTCTGAATTAATGTGCATTAAGTAAGACAAAAGCAAAAATACCAGTTACTGCAAAATTCATTTAGGCACACTTAGTAGTCCATTCTAAGTGTTTCTTCTCATGTTAATTACTAAAGCCTGTTTACAGTACTAAAGTTCTATCATTCAAGCATCAATGATTACATTTCAAAAAAAATCATTTATTTTGGTAATAGCATTACTGCTATATTCTAAAAAAGAAAAAAGAAAGAATAATAATTAACAAAATGAGTATCCATAATAGGATACACAGGGAAAAACATTTTAGGAAAAAAGTGTGCTTTTCTTGAACAGCAGGAATTATAATGTAAATACCATGATTGGCCCACACCACAAAATCTGTGAGACAGGTATGAATTTGAACACTGTGGGTACATTATTTTCAATTCTGTTTGTAAGTTTGTTTATACCAATACATGACAAATAAAACACACTCTTCCACACACATACAAGCGATTGTTAGATACTGAGCATGGCTTGCTTCCCCAACTCAACTTAGAAAATGTTAACTGACATCCCAACTGTTTTTTAAAAATGTTTACAGAAATCATAAATGAATGTGAATAGTAGTTGAAGAATGATGAAAAAGTGATGGCAATACAATGTGAGTGGATGTAAGAAAGAATGTACCCAGAACTTGGCTGAGATCTGCAAATGCATGGGCAGTCTTTCCTGTGGGCCTTGTCTGAACCTAACTAACGCTCATAGAACACAGTAGCACAGTCCGCTGACACCTGGAGGGTCAGGCCTAGAAAAGTGCACATTTTAACAATGAAATGTTTCAGCAGGGATGTAAGGACAATCCTCCATCTATTTCTTGATAAAAAGAGAAAGAAGAAAAAGAAAAAGAAAGAAAGAAAGAAAGAAAGAAAGAAAGAAAGAAAGAAAGAAAGAAAGAAAGAGGGAGGGAAGGAGGGAGGGAGGGAGGGAGGGAGGGAAGGGAGGAAGGAAGAAAAAGAAAGAAAGGAAGGAAGGAAGGAAGGAAGGAAGGAAGAAAGAAAGAAAGGAAGGAAGGAAGGAAGGAAGGAAGGAAGGAAGGAAGAAAGAAAGAAAGAAAGAAAGAAAGAAAGAAAGAAAGAAAGAAAGAAAGAAAGAAGAAAGAAAGAAAGATTTAAAACACAGAAAGAAAGAAGAAAGAAAGAAAGAAAGAAAGAAAGAAAGAAAGAAAGAAAGAAGAAAGAAAGAAAGAAAGAAAGAAAGAGAGAGAGAGAAAGAAAGAAAGAAAGAGAGAGAGAAAGAAAGAAAGTTCAGAAAGTATTTTTGTCCTGGACAAAGTTATTTCAGTTTCTTGGTAAAACAGAAGTATTTAGCCAAAATATCACCCGCTCTTTCACATACACAAAACTATTCCTAGGGGAATGGGGCGGGGAGAGAAAAGCCCTTACCTGTGTGTCACCTGATGTGACTTTTATTGGAACTGCCGTCCTCTGGATCAGCTACATGCACACCAGCGCCTGCCCCCCCCTCCCCCCACCCCTGTTCCCCTCCCGCTCCGCCCGCCTATCCAAGCCCCAGTGGCCCCAGGAATTCTAACAGCTTAGTGTTTCCTAAGCCTCAGGACCCAGGTGCTGAGTGCCACCCTCACAAGGTGACACCTGAGGTGCACTTTCTGCAGCACCTTCTTCTCCACACCTGCGTGCAATCCTGATGCTCTCAAGCCCGGACCTAGATCTCCGGGTCATCGGGCCAGGGCGGCTGCGGGCTCTGCTGGCGGCGCCGGCCCACGGTGGCTGCGGTTGTAGTTGGCTGAGCAGCCGGCTGTTTAGAATTCCGGTCGTGGAAGCTGGAGATGGTGCGTCCTGCCTGCCCTGTGGACTTTGTCCTGCACTGTAACCAGCTCAGTTTGCTCGCTCGCGTGCTTGTTTGCTGTAATTGCGCAGGAAGAATTGTTTCTGTCTCCAGGAACCAGCTGGTACCGGGGGGAGACTGGGCGGAGGGGAGCGGTTGGTGAGGAGCAGCCACGGAAAGAAGTGTATTTTGGAGATCCACACTCTTGGGAGGGGCTCAGCGGGCCGGTGCTGGCGGTGAGGACCGCTCTTCCCCTTCACACGACCCTTACCACCTTGAGGAAGACGTAGAAGAGATCGATGATGCTCAAACAAGAGGCACCAAGGACACTGCCGGCATGAACATGGTGACGATGGCTTTCTCCGAGGGACGGAGAGGAAGCCGTCCCCCGGATGGATCGGTGAAGCCATGGATGTCCCGCTGGCTCAGCAGGAAGGCCGCCTGGAAGACGGCGGGCAGCCAAGGGATGCTGATGACGGAGGCTCCAGCAAGGCCCGCGCAGGTGCACCCTGCGTGCCCTTCAGTGCCACACGTGAGCTCCTGTCTTTCCACCTGCCTCGGGGGCACCTCCACGTTCACACCAGCAGCTTGGGCAACTCTGAGTTCCTCCTCCCTCCTGTCCAGCTTCTCTTCTTTCGCACCACGTAGACCACGTGAGCAGGTACAAGATGTGGGACAGACACGAAGGCGAGCCGCGGGGCCCAGAGCGCACAGGAGAGGCGGGGAAGGACTTGTCACAGCAGGCGCCTCACAGCCAGGCTGCTGGGTCTCACAGGAGGCACCGGCAGCAGCCCAGGCTGACTCCCCGGTTCCCAGCAGCGGTTCGGAAGGAGGGAAGCACTGACAGCCACACCTCCCCTCGGGGGGAACAGGCCTGAACCTTGTCCCGGAGCCTGCCTAAGGCACTCCAGTCACCCGCGTGGCCTGGGCGTCCTTCTTCCTCTTAAAAGAAGTGAAGTAGGCGGCCACTGACTGAGCTCCGTAGAAGGTGAAGCAAAATGCAAAGGCGGGCTCGGGCACTTGGACGCGCCTGTGTTTACAGTTTCAAAGTCTGCTGCTGTTCGGGCCTTTCCTCACTCCTTCGCCCCAACGAGAGGAAAGTGCTGGTACCTCGTAAAAGCTCCCAATTCGTACCTCTTAATCCCTTCACCTTTTCCACCTCGTCTTCCAGCCCCACGTCCATCTGGCAACCAACAGTTTGCTTTCTGTGTCTATGAGTCTGTTTCTGTTCTGTCTGTCGGTTTCTTTTGTTCTTTAGATTCCAATGTAAGTGAGATCATATGCTATTTGTCTGTGTCTGACTTATTTCTGATAGATCCTCCCTTCCCCCAACTGGTGGGTGGAGTATGACGTAACCTGCAGCCCGGAAATACCTGCGTGACTAACCAGGTACCTTATATGGACTATACATTGGACCACCAATCCGCACCTGCCAAATACCCTAAGCCCTTGTCCTCTATGGACCATGCAGTAAGCCACCAATCAGTGTGCGCCGAGTACACTAAGCCCCCACTCCTTCCCATTCCGCCCCTCAAAAGGCGTGCCCACCCTGCACGTGCTGCTGTGCTCCCCTTGCGAGACAGCCCGGCAGGTCCTTCTCCTCTAATAAAGCCTGTAGTCCTGGTTTTCGGCCTCCGTCTGATCTTTCAATCACACTTAGCATCATCCCCTCTAGGTCAATCCACGATGTCGCCAATGGTAAGGCTTGTTTTTTTAATGACTGAGTAACATCCCACTGTCTACAGGTGCCACCACTGTTATCCACTCGTCTATTGATGGCGCTAAGGTTCCTCCCACGCCTTGGCGATTGTAAATATACTGCAGTGAACACGGGGATGCATCTCTCCCCTCCCTCCCACTCTCTCTAAAAATCAACGGCGGAAAAATATCCTTGGGTGAGGATTAACAACAACAAAAAAGCTCTTGTAGATCAGAGTTTGCGGTTTACCCTATGGCAATGTAAATTAAAGCAGGCGGTCAAAAGCTCAAATGCCTTCAGAAGCGAGGCAGGTGGGCCTGGTGGCTCAGTGGCTAGGAGCACCCTCCCATACACCAAAGGGATGCTGGTTCAAGTCCCAGTCAGGACACATACTTAGGGGTTGGGGCACTACCGAAGGCAAATTGATGTTACTCTCTCTCATCAATACATATATCTTTGGGTGAAAATTTTAAAAATAATAATAATAAGCAAGGCAGGTGACCTAAATGAATATAACACAAGAGGGAGTGCTGGGGCCTGCAAAGACTCCAAGAGAACACACACTCACCTGAAATCATTCAAATTCAAAATTTAAAACCATGAGCCTGGGCCCTGGCTGGTTGCTCAGTGGTTAGAGGGTCAGCCCATACACAGAATGGTTGTGGGTTTGATTCTCTGTCAAGGGCAGGTACCTCGACTGCAGGTTTGATCCCCAGCTCTAGTCAGGGAGGCAACTAATTGATGTGTCTCTCTCATGTTGATGTTTCTCTATCTCTCTCCCCCTCCTCCCTTCATTCTACTCTCTCTAAAAATCAATGGAAAAAAATATCCTCAGGTGAGGATTCAAAAAAAAAAAAGATTCTAAAACCCCGGGAAAGGGTTTTCAGCAGTGGAGTGTCATGATCATATTTGTATTTTAGAAAAGGAAATTAGAATACATGGAAGGGAGCTCAACTAGAGGCAGGAAGACCAGAAGGTGATCCAGGTGAGAAATGAAGGTTTGAGCTGGGATCAAGTGCAGAGGGAGGAAAGTGACAGGCCCTAGAGAGAGTTGGGAGGAAGAGGCAAGGGCCTTGGGGTGAGCTGGATGTGAGGCTAGGGAAAAGCCAAAGCTTATTTATAATTATTGCTATAGTCGTGTTGCAGTGGGGATGCTATAGGACACAGTGAAAGAGATGGCAAAGAGGTCGGTGATAAGGAAGTCAATGGAAAAAAACACAAAGAAGTAAAAGGATGAGGGATTGAAACTATGCGTGACTCAAAAGAATTGCATCCTTGACCCTGGATGCTGAGTCATGGAGCCAAATTAAAAGCCTGAAAGTTCAGCCCTGGCTGGTGTTTCTCAGTGGTTAGAGTGTCAGCCTGTGGCCCAAAGGGTCCTGGGTTCGATTCCCGGTCAAGAGCATGGTAACCACGTCAGCAAACCCGGGAGCCCGCACCCTAAAGGCGGAGAGAAGCCCAAGAGGCAGCTTGTTGCTCCCTTCCCACCGGCGCCTCTGGGAGGTGTGGTGAGAAGGGACTACAAACAATGGGTTGAGCGTCTGCTTCCTGTGCAGTTCGCTGCCCCGATCACCCACTGGCCCCAAGCAGCTGGGCAGCTGCTCCATCCTCTTCCCCGGTGTCCACAGAAAGCTGGGGCCGAGCTTCTGAGCAGGTAGATCAGACGAGGCCTAAGGGCACTGCCTTTGGGTGCACCAACCAAGGACCCACATGTCAGCAAACCTCCCCTCACCTGCCCGCCCACATGGAACACCAGGGGCCACGCGTTAGCTGAGGAAATGCTCTGATGCGAAGGAGAGACCAAAACAAACAGGAAAAACCTGCTTTAAAAAAACTGACGCGGGACCTAGCCGGTGCGGCTCAGTGGATAGAGCATCACACTCGGACTGAAGGATCCCGGGGTGGATTCCAGTCAAGGGCACCTGTCCGGGTTGCAGGTTTCCTGGCCCTGGTCAGGGCTTCGTGCAGGAGGCAACCAATCGATGTGTCTCTCTCACATCGATGTTTCTCTCTGTCTCTCCGTCTCCCTTCTCCCACTTTCCCTACTTTGTTTCACAAAAATCAAAGGAAAATGTTCCTGGGTTGGGGTTTTTCAAGAAAAAAAAACAAATCCACGGCGGGGGGGGGGGGGGGCGGGGGGGGGGGAGGTGACTGGCAGCCAGGTGTGCAGAGTTGCATTCTAAGTAGAGTGGTGAGGAGCCCACACAGGCACTGGCAGCGGGAGCAGGCTGTTTGTGCCCAGTGAGCCAAATAGGCCGCTGAGCATGGAGGGGTGCGTGGCAGGAGCCCCAAGCCTGGTGTCAGAGCCCTGAGCAGGGCAAGGATTGAAATGTCCCATCCAGGGACGGCACAGAGAATGGAAACAGACCCACAACAAGGCATATCATGCAGGTGAAACTGAATGCAGTGGGTCCGGGCGCCTGTCACTACCTGAGCCAGTCCGCAGCGACGCGGTGACCCTGGGGCACGTATTCCAATCCTGCCGCAGCGTGGGGAGCAGGTCCCCCCCCCCCGGACATCTGCTCTGACCCCCTCGCCAGCGGCTGGTTATAGGCACACGAGGGAGACACAGCTACATGCGGCCTCGAGCCAACGTGTAACAGGGAAGCGGGGGGGTCTGCAGTCCGGCCCCAGGAGTCAGAGTCCCATAACAAGGCGGCTGATCCCCCAGGACGTTCCTAACGCTCAGCCTGCCTGGGCCGGAGGGCGGGCAGCGCTCCTGAGAGCAACTCCCGGAGGGCACAGCCACCAAGTCAAAGCGCGTCCTGTCCTCGGTTGGCTCCCAACATGTCTTTCCTTCCCGAGTCACGGGCCCATCGAGGCCTCTCATCTTCCACAGCCTTGTCTCGCCCCCGGGTCCCAGGCCTGAAAGAAACCTCTCGTCTATGGTTAGTTAGCTACTAAAGGTCCTGTCGGGTTGGTCTCTCTCTCAACTGTTTCCCTGGGTGCTACTCTTCTTATGTG